TTTGTTTTCCCCCTCTCCCCATCTGATGTTTATCCAACTATCTCTATGTTGGTTCTGTTTATATGGAGAACCTTGACTAACATCATTTATATTTTCCATAAAGCTAGAGATCATTATGTGGAGTTGCCCACTTTATCATAAGTCTTGAAAAAAAAAATCCCATATTTTCAGTAAGGTTTTCCTAAAAGGCACTTTTGAAATCTTATCCAGTGGCTAAGCGCATCAAAGGGTTTATAATATTTGACATAGTGGTAGAGCTCAGACCCCACGAGAAAATTACCAGTGAAAGGAAAAATTTTCCCTCACAATCTAATCATCTGGTACTTCAGGGTGCAAGAGCTGGATAATCACTACATTGACAAGTCCTTGTCAAGGCTTTCTGTGTTACAAAAAATATAAGTCACACATGATCAAGGCCCTGAGAACTCTAAGATAAAAGGAAAAAAAGGAAACTATAACATGAAACAACAAACCAGGCAGTATCATATATTTAGACAGAAGATAAAATGAAAACAAAGGGCAGAAAATAAGGACATATACTTTGCACAAGTTAAAAAACACAAGGGGGCCCCTGTGTCATGACGTATCAAGGAAAGCTGCCACCTGTGATGCCAGTATCCCACATGGGCACCAACCAGTTCGAGTCCCAGCTGCTCTACTTCCAAGCCAGCCACCTGCTAATGTGCCTGGGAAAGTAGTGAAAGATAGTCCAAATGTTTGGTGGCCTGCCACCAATGTGGAAGACCCATATGAAGCTCCTGTGGCGTCACCCAGCCCCGGGCATTGTGGCCATCTGGGTAGTGAACCAGCAGATGGAAGATCTCTCTCTCTCTCTCTCTCTCTCTCTCTCTCTTGTTTCTTCCTCTCTCTGTAACACTGACTTTCAAATATATAAACAAATATTTTTAAAAAATAAATGCTGAGAGGACCAGGATTGTGCCATAGTAGGTAAAATTACCACCTATGATACCAGCATCTCATATGGGTACTGGTTCAAGTCCCAGCTGCACAACTTCCAATCCAGCTCCCTGCTAGTGCCCCTGGGAAAGCAACAGAGGATGGTCCAAGTGCTTGGGCCCCTGCACCCATCTGGGAGACCCAAAGGAAGCTCCTAGATACTGGCTTTGGCATGGCCCAGCCACAGCCCTGGCCACTGTGGACTTCTGGGGAATAAAATAGTAGATGAAGCCGGCGCCACGGCTTACTAGGCTAATCCTCCGCCTTGCGGCGCCGGCACACCAGGTTCTAGTCCCGGTCAGGGCGCCGGATTCTGTCCCAGTTGCCCCTCTTCCAGGCCAGCTCTCTGCTATGGCCAGGGAGTGCAGTGGAAGATGGCCCAGGTGCTTGGGCCCTGCACCCCATGGGAGACCAGGAGAAGCACCTGGCTCCTGCCTTCGGATCAGCATGGTGCGCCAGCCGTGGCGGCCATTGGAGGGTGAACCAACGGCAAAGGAAGACCTTTCTCTCTGTCTCTCTCTCTGTCTCTCTCTCTCCCACTGTCCACTCTGCCTGTCAAAAAAAAAAAAAAGCAAATGGAAAAATCTCTCTCTTTCTCTCTCTCTCTCTCTGCAACTTTTTCAAATAAATAAAATAAATCTTAAAAAAAATCCTGAGGAAGGATATTGTCTGAAGAGAAAACAAAAATCAGATTGACTTGGTTCATGAGAATGTACACTATAGCAGCTCATCCTGCTCTATTAACAAAAAAACAGAATAAGATCAGTGAGTGTCATTCGTCATGATACAACCTTGGACAAGATTTAATGAGTTTTTCAACAGATGTTAGGCTCCATTAGAATGACTACAGGAAGCACTTGCACTAAAAGAATCTGGCTAAATTAACACATTAGAAAATACAAAGTACAGGGGCCAGTGCTGTGGCACAGCAGGTTGGTGCTGTGGCGCAGCAGGTTGATACCCTGGCCTGAAGCTCTGGCATCCCATGTGGGTGCCGGTTCAAACCCGGCTGTTCCACTTTTGATCCAGCTCTCTGCTGTGGCCTGGGAAGGCAGTGGAGGATGGTCCAAGTCCTTGGGCCCCTGAGCCCGCATGGGAGACTCAGAGGAGGCTCCTGGCTCCTGGCTTCAGATTAGCACAGTTCCAGCCGTTGCTGCCCATTGGGGAGTGAACAAGTGGATGGAAGCACACTCTCTCTCTCTCTCTCTCTCTCTCTCTCTCATCCTACAATTGGCAGAAGAATGTTTGTATGTAATCACATTAGTGACTAGTCATGCGACTTGTGAGCCACTCAACTTTAGCCATTAGTGAAAAACTAAACGAGACTGATGGAGAATTATAGCAGAGTGGAATATCCCAAAATTTAAAATTCATAGGCAGAAAAATGAAGCATTTTAAGATATTATCAAGACAACAATTCTAAATTCCACATTAAACTATAAGAAGAAAACAAGTGGAGAACAAGATTTTGAAATATTGTTCCCCAAGGTAAAATATAAAACCAGAGGCAGTAGGAAATATCTCAGTTTAAGAATGCTGCATGGAGTTGATAAAGTATAATGAAACACATATTCCACATAAAATCTTCTTAGGGCATAATGAAACTTAATTTGTAATGAAATTATTATCTAAAGTATATTATTATTAAACAAAAACTTTAAATTCTACAAGTGTCTATTTCCAGTTTTAGCTATAACAGAAGAGCTATTGGATTTGTTTTTTGAGAGAAAAGACTGACATCCATGAGCCCCAAAGTGCAGTAGAGAAGTAGTCTGAATGAAAAGCAGTGGGCAGACTGGGTAGGGGAATGGAGACTAGAGAACAGGGCTATTGAGTCAGTAGAAATTTTCAGAGTAGAGAGAAGGAAGCTATACAGAGAAGAATCTCCAGACACGTAAAGATGTTCTTTTCAGCTTTGACTCAATATTTATTTGCATATATACAGAAAAGGACTCCAAGAGACCTGCAGAAAAGTTACAGGGTCTGTGTGTTGGATGGAGGCCCCAGAAATCACACAGTACTAAGAAACACTGAACATCTGGTTGTCCAGAATGAGCGACTTCACCGAACACCTGAGGCATTCAGCTGAGGCACCAGAAAGACCACATGTTAAAAAGTAATATTATTTTGGTTTTAGAACAATGACTGCCCTAAATCCACCCAAACATAAGCCACAGAAAGATAAAACATAACTCGATACTCTTTAAAACACCATGAAACATAGGTTGTAGACAACATAACATCACAAAATAATGCCAAGAAGCAGGAAAATGTGACCCATAATCAAGGGAGAAAACATATATAGAAACACAAGCAAAGATGACGTAAGTATTGGAATTAAAATATTAGATATGTATGGGGTCTTCACCAAAATACCCAAGGAAAATGCATATTATGAAAAAATTGCACATGGATTTCAAAATATTTTGAACTAAAACGAATTTATCTTTTCATCCCCGTTTTCCAGAAACTCTGAAATACAATCCTTGTATCCAAGGATTTAGAGGAAATATGAACATAGTGAATAAATAGGAATTCTAAGTACAATAATGATAATTTATTAAAAAACTAAATGCAATTAAAAAAAGATTAGATCTTCTTGATAGCAGATTGGGCACTACAATTGAAAGAAAGAGTACAAAAACTATCCACAAGGAGGCAATGAAGAAAATCACTGGGAAGTTAATCAGAGTTTCAAGAATATCTGGAACAACATCAAGAGGTCTACCACACATGTAATTGGAGTAACAGAAATAAACAAGTAAGAGTGGAACCAAAAGAAATTGAAGAATTAACTACCAGATTTGATTAAAACCATCATTGCCCAGATCCAGGAAGCACAACGAACCTCTAAGATAAATGCAAAGAAAACAATACAATTCCTATTGAAATCAAATTGCTGAAAATGAATGACAAAAAGTAAATCGTAAAAGTGTCCATGGGGCCGGCACTGTGGCGCAGCGGGTTAACGCCCTGGCGTGAAGCGCCAGCATCGCATATGGGTGCCGGTTTCAGTCCCGGCTGCTCCTCTTCTGATCCAGCTCTCTGCTATGGCCTGGGAAGGCAGTAGAAGATGGCTCAGGTGGGAGACCTGCACCCACATGGGAGACCTGGGAGAAGCTCCTGGCTCCTGGCTTTGGATTGGCACTGCTCCGGCCGTTGTGGCCAATTCAGGGGTGAACCAGCAGATAGGAGACCTCTCTCTGTCCCTACCTCTCTCTGTAACTCTGTCTTTCAAATAAATAAAATAAATCTTTTTTAAGAAAGTGTCAAAAAAATCAAAAATAGTAAAAAAAAAAAAAGAGAGAGAGAGAGAGAGACAGAGAGAGCAACAGAGGAGAAAGTGTATTCTCTGGGGAGAGCTGGAGGAAAACTGCAGTGGAGATTCGGCGGAAGGAGACACGCCATGGATCTGTGTGGAAGGTGCAGACACGTAGTAATGAGTGCTAACACAGCACAGGACCCCAGCAGCCCTGAGTCAGGGAAAGCACCAGCTTTGGAGAGTAAGGTGAGGTCAGACTACAACCACCCTTGCTTGCCACTGGTGATAGTCAGAGGGAGAGCCTAGTGGTCTATACTGTCTTTGAGTGCAGCCCAGATCCCTGAGGGGAACAGGGTGCCTGCTCCACAGAGAAAAAGAAACAGAGCACATCCCTCTCTCCCCATTCCCCTACAACCCGTCCCACAACAGCACCTCCCAAACAGCTAAGAGAAGGCAGGTACCATTTAAGCATAAGTAGGCAGCAGCTACACACCAGCATGCACTCAGCAGCTGGCAGGGACAGTCCCATCTTGTCAGCAGAGGCAACTACAGCAGCTTCAGTACACACAGCCAGCAACTGGCAGGGAGAAGGAGCCATTCTGACATGAGTACCAGGTGCTGAGACTCTTATATGGGTCCAATATGATAATGAAATGAGTAGGCTGCAGCCAGCATGTAGTATGCATGTGTGTGACCCAGGGATTTTATCAGAGGGAACAATCCACATTTCCCACAGACTCTGAGTCTGCCTGGGAAGATTAAATGGGGGCTAGATACTCACATATGACTGTGAGGTGCCCCCAGACTCTCAAAATATCACAGACTGCAGAGCTCCAGGGTTTAACCTGCCTAGACAAAGCACCCACAAGCTGCTGGCTCTGGGACCAACCCAGCTTCTCTGTAGATAGGACAGGCTAACAGGGTGGAGTGGATCTTCTGTAGCCCATGCCTGTGAGAGCCCTGAATGCTGAGACAGTAGAAACACTATGACATCACAAGAGGGCACAGGGTGTAGCTAGGTCTCTGGGCAATCACTGTGTGTGACTCCACTGATTGTCTGGGGTGGTCACTGCAGTGGGATCCGTGCTCACACTGAGGACTGCACAGATCCCCAGAGCAGTGAATGAAGAAGCACAGATGAATACTACACCCACTGAGGGTTAGCTCCCAGGCACTGATCAACTTGGAAGAGAGGAGGTGAGAGTGTGATTATGACAATAGAAGTTACAACACACCCACCTTCTATTTTTTTTTTTTATTTATTCAACAGATAGAGTTAGACAAAAAGAGAGAGAGACAGAGATAAAAGTCTTCCTTCCGTTGGTTCACCCCCCAAATGGCTGCTACGGCCAGGACTATGCTGATCCGAAGCCAGGAGCCAGGTACTTCTTCCTGGTCTCCCACGCGGGTGCAGGGTCCCAAGCACTTGAGTCATCCTCCACTGCACTCCCTGGCCACAGCAGAGAGCTGGCCTGGAAGAGGGGCAACCGGGACAGAATCTGGCACCCCGACCGGCCCGGTGTGCCGGCGCCACTAGGCGGAGGATTAGCCTATTGAGCTGTGGCGCCGGCAGAAAACATTCTAAAATCTACATGAGAGAATTGCTAGATTATTTCAGATGATCTCCAATTAGACTTACAACTGATTTCTCATCAGAAACTCTACAGGTTAGGAGAGAATGGAGAGACATAGTTCAAGACTCAAGAGAAAAAATTGCCAACCCAGAATATTGTACCCTGCAAAGCTATCATTTATGAATTAAGATGAAATAAAGACCTTCCATAACAAACAGAAATTGAAAGAATTTGTCAGCAGTTGAACAGTCTTACAAAAGAAGCTTTAAGATGTGCTACACACAGAAACACTGAAAGATAGTCATAGGTATGAAAGAAAGTGAAGGCAAAAAAACTCCCAGTAAAAGCACAAAGGAAATCCAAAGTAAACAATAGAAATATTTATAGAAAAATGGAAGAGCCAAGTCATCACTTATCAATAGTCACCTTGAGTGCAAATGGCCTCAACTATCCAGTTAAAAGATACAGACTGGCTGAATGGATTAAAAAAACAAGACCCATCTGTTTTCCACCAACAAGAAAAATATCTCAACAACAAAGATACACAGAGACTGAAAGTAAAAAGATAGGGGGTTGGGGCCATGGCTCACTTGGTTAATCCTCTGCCTATGGATCTTGGATGAAGGAGATATAATCAATCCCTGGAGCAAGGACAGGTTCTTCAAAAAATGGTGCTGGGAAAACTGGATTTCCGTATGTAAGTTTGAAACATGAACCCTACCTTACACCTTACATAAAAATCCACTCAAAATGGATAAAGATCTAAATCTACGACCTGATACCATTAAATTACCAGGGGACAATGGAGAAACTCTATAAGACACTTGCATAGACGTAGACTTCTTGGAAAAGACCCCAGAAGCACAGTCAATCAAAGCCAAAGTGTCATATTGAGAAGCTTCTGCCCTGAAAAAGAAACACTCAAAAAAGTGAAGAGACAACCAACAGAAAAAGAGCAAATATTTGAAAATTAGGCAACTGATAAAAGTTTACTATCCAGAATCTATAAAACTTCATGAAACTCAACAACAACAAAGCAAACAATCCAGTAAAGAAATGGAGGAGGAAGGGATGGAGCATGGACAGGAGGGAGGGTAAGAAGTATCAGTATGTTCCTAAATCTTATATAAAATTTTAAAAATAAATAAAAGACAAGCCAAATTCCTCTCCCCCAATAAAAAGAGTGTTATCCAACTGCATAGTAGGAAAAACAAGAATATATTGTTTTTTACTTCTCATCCAATTCTTATCTCAGTTACTCCACTTCAGATAAAGCTCCCAGCTAATGACCTGAGAAAACGAGTGAAAGATGGGCCATGTGTTTGGGCCCCTCTCACTCACTTGGGAGATGGGATGAAGCTCCTGATTCTTGACTGCAGCCTGGCCCAGCCCTGTATGTTGCCTCCATGTGGGGAGTAAACCAACAAACAGCAGATCTCTATCTCTCTTATTCTCTCACTTTCTCACCCTGTCTCTCCTTCTCTCTCTCTCTGTAACTCTGAATTTAAAAATAATTAAATTAAATCTTAAAAAAAATGTTCTTCAATATTTCCTGCCCTGACCCCCAGGACAGGATTATGAAAACCACAGAATATCACACCTTTGATTAGCTTATGGTACTTAGCCAAAAGTATTTTTTTAAGACTTACTTGTTTCAGAGATAGAGTTACAGATGGAGAGAGAGCAAGAGACAGAGAGGTCTTCTATCAGCTGGTTCACTTCCCAAATGGCTGCAATGGCTGGAGCTGGGGTGATAAAAAGTCAGTAACCAGGAGCTTCTTCTGGGTCTCCTACATGGGTGCAGGGTCCCAAGCACTTGGGCCATTTTCCACTGCTTTCCCAGTTCATCAGTAGACAGCTGGATTAGAAGAGGAGCAGTCAGGCATTAGCTGGGAGTAGGGCTGAGAGCATGAGGCATGCTAGGCATGCTAGGGCTGCAGGCAGAAGCATAACCTACCAGGTCACAGTGCAGGCCCTTGGCCAAAGGCATTTTATAAATGAAATGAAGATTAATAAATTGATATTCAAATAGCAAGATTATCTCTGTTGAGTATAATCACATGAGTTCTTTCAAAGCAGAGCATTTTCTCAGACATCCTCAGAAAAAGTAAGACATTTGAAGCAAGGGAAGTATCAAGTGCACCATTATCGGCCACAGAATGGCATGGCGGGGGGCGGGCGCATCCTACAAAGAACATGAGACATCTCTTAAGTTGAGTGCAGCTCCCTGAACCTTAACAGTAAGGGAACAAAAACCTCAGAGCCAACAATGTTAATGAGCTTAGAAGCAGATTCTTTGCTTTGAAATATAAGACTGGCTACCATGTTGATTTCAGTTATTCATATGAACATAGGACTGCACTGAATCTACCTGGACTTGGACTTGGAACTGTAAGATGATAAGGAGTACTCATCTAAACCACTTTATTAATGGTAATTAGTTAAGAAGAAATAGAAAACTATTACAGAAATATTCTTTGTACCTTTCTTTTATTATACATGAAATAATATAAGCTTAGGTAATTTAAATAATATCATTTTTATGAGTTAAATGTGCATATTAGAAACTCTACAACAATCACACATACAAAAAGAGTGATACAGATAGAAATCCAACAGTTGAGAGAGAAATGAGTGTTACATATCCTTGATAAATTCAAATAGGGTGGTTTGAGTCTCCTCAAAGCTGAGCAGGCACTTTGCATGACCTGTTTTAGGACAAAGAACAGTGCCTCACATATACAAGACAAGTTCAAACAGTTGATGGAAAATGTATGTTATGAAAAAATGATTCATAGATTTCAAGGACTTTTTTAACCTTAAAATAATGTTTATTGCATTCTAGAACTCCTTTCATTTATGCAGGCTCTAAGCATGTAAGGAATTATTGAATGAATGCACAAGTGAATGGCCAAATCCTGTGTTTAAAAATACAAATCACTAAGAGGTTCTCCCACCAAAAATAACTAGATGAAAACACTTTAGCCTATAAGGAGGATAATTGGAAGGGAAATGATTATTTGTGCAGAGAAACCAGCCAAGATTTTTTTTTATTTAGATGCAATGAGGTTCTATAATGGATTTAAGGCACCTGAAAACAGTTAAAGGTCTGCTTTAATAATCTGCATTTGTAACGACTGTGGAAATAAAGATAGACTATCAAGCATGTTATATATAAGTGTAGAAGGATCCATCACAAATAAAAAGAAAGCATTTACAAACACAGATTTTACAAGCAGAAAATATGAGATCTGGGCCTGGCACTATTTAAACTGGTTTTTTGTCACATGCTACACACAGTGGGATAGATGTCTGCATATCTGCAAAAACTGCAAATCTAATTATAATATGCAAGGTCAAATATCAGCCCAGAAATAGAAAGTGAGATTTGAAGAAAGTGCTTATATCCTCAACTAGTGCAGAGTCCACGAGATGAGGCAGCCTTTTCAGCAGAATCAGCGGAGTTTTATAAACTCGACATTGTTAATATTTGACCACATATAAGACAAAATGTCTGTACATCCTAATCTCTAATAAGTAGTAGGGTGAAGGGTAAGGGCAAAGGAATAAATAAATATTCAGTACCTGCTTTGAATAGACAAGGACATCACTAGCCACTTTTTCCCATAAATTTTATTTAAGGTATATAAATTTCATATATATAGATTATGGAACATACTGATACTTCCCACTCTACCCTCCCTCCTGCCCATGCTCCATCCCTTAATCCTCCATCTTCTATTCCCACTCTTAATTTTTACAAAACATTTTCAGTTTACTTTATACTCATAATGTTAACCATAATGTTAACAAATAGTATGAAGAAAAAAAGTACTGTTCTTCAACAGTAGAGACAAGGGCTCTAAACAACAATCAACTCCCAAAGTGTCCATTTCACTCTAATACAATGCATTTTAGGTACTCTATTAGTTACCACAGATGAGGGAAAACATATGCTATTTGTCTTTTTGGGACTGGCCTATTTCACTTAGTATAATGGTTTCCAGGTGTGTCTATTATATTGCAAAAGACAGGATTTCTTTTTTTTTACATCTGAATAGTACTCTCTCTAATTTTATATATATATATACCATAATTAATGTATCCAGTCATCAGCTGATGAACATCTGGGTTGATTCCATGTTACCTATTGTGAATTGAGCTGCTATAAACATAAGGGTACACATAACTCATACGTTTCTTTCTTTTGGTTTGGGTAAATTCCCAGGAGTGAGATGGCTGGATCTGTAGGTCTATATTCAGATTTCTGAGGTATCTATATACTCTTCATACTGGCTGGACCAGTTTAAATTCCCATCAACAGTAGATTAGGGTACCTTTTTCCCCACAACCTTGCCAGCATTTATTGTTTATTAATTTCTGTATAAGAACCATTCTAACTGGAATGAGGTGAAACCTTATTGAGGTTTTGATTTGCATTTCCCTGATGGCTAGTGATCCTGAGTATTTTTTCATGTGTCTGTTGGTCATTTAAATTTCCTCTCTTAAAAATTACCTGTTCAAGTCTTTGGCCCATTTCTTAACTGGATTATTGTTTTGTTGTTGTTCAGTTTCTTGGGGGTATTTGTTGATACTTATTCCTCTCAGAAGAATGTAGACTAACATGCATAAAGTCTTGGAAGTGGCCGGCGCCATGGCTCAATAGGCTAATCCTCTGCCTGCAGCGCCCGCACCCCAGGTTCTAGTCCCAGTTGGGGCGCTGGATTCTGTCCTGGTTGCTCCTCTTCCAGTCCAGCTGTGGCCAGGGAGTGCAGTAGAGGATGGCTCAAGTGCTTGGGCCCTGCACCTGCATGGGAGACCAGGAGTAGCACCTGGCTCCTGGCTTCAGATCGGCAAGGTGCACTGGCTGCAGCACACTGGCCGCTGCGGCCATTGTGGGGTGAACCAAAGGAAAAGGAAGAC